ATCCGCCCTGGTTCAGCCTCCCTCTTCCTGCCGAGTCTGGGCCCACTTCCCACCAGCTCCAGCCCCCCCCGCAGCTTGTCCGTGTCCATGTCCATGCCCACGTTGGTGGGAGATGTGAGCCAAGGACAACGGGGCACAACCTGGATTCACATCATTGCCACACAGCACCTGTGGAGGCCCAGCCACCAGGGGTCCTGAGGGGTGCCCCGGAGCCTGTGGGACAGACAGCGCCTCCTCCGGACGGTCCCCCACCCCAGGCAGCCAGGCCGTCACGCCGGTCCTGCCGATCCAGGGCACCGAGGGTTACAGATGTGCTGTTGTCAAGGGGAAGGTGAGGCGCAGGTGCTGGGGGGAAACCGCCCCGCCCTGTGAGCCACCCAGCCACCCCACTCCCACCCGGGTAAATAGGACCTGGGCCTTCGGCGGCTAACTGGAGGTCAGGGTCCCTGCTCCTGACCTCTCTTCCCTTTCCAGCCCCCACCAGAGACCTCAGTCTTGCTACCTCCTGAAGCCCCACCCCCGAGGCTCACCCCAGCTCTGCTCACCCACCTGGCCCTACCCCTTGCTGGGCCTCCCACCTGGGCGGCTGGGTGCAGCGTGGGGCACCGTGGAAGGCAGGCCCTCAAGTCCCCAGGCCCAGGCCCGAGCCTTGCAAGCGCCTGGCATGGGCATTCTCCAGGAACAATCGCAGTGTCTGAGGGTCCCAGGGCCGCAGGCAGGCCTTCCCCACCAAGGGCTGCACACTGGACATCGACAGTCCCTGAGGTATGTCGTTTACTGAGGTAGACCAGCAGCGCTGGACCCAGGAGGCCCAGGGCACGGCGACCGTACATGTCCCCATGGCAGGGGCACGTTCTCAGGAAACTCAAGTTCATGGGCTCAACTTGCCCTTCTCAGCTCTGCCCACCAGCCAGGCCCCCGCAGGTCTCGGTGCACAGATGGGGATGCCCCGCAGGACCTGCTCCCCACTCTGGGCAGGGCTTGCCCTCCAGGCCCAGGGAGGGTGCCCTCGCCTGGGGCTCCTTAAGGGAACAGAAATGCAGAAAGGCCCACTTTTGGTCCAGGGGCAGGAGTGGCCTCACAATCAAGAAGGCACGTGGCCCCTACACTTCCTGCTCAGCTGGCTCGGGCTGACCTTTAGCTCTGACCCTGGCACCCAGCGTGGACGGGTCAGGTTCCCTGGGACAGACCCAGTGGATAAAACAAAGCACTGGGCAGCGCCCAGCTCAGCCGAGACGCCAGGCAGCCCAGCGGGGGAAGGAAGAAGGAAACGGACCTGGCAGCCCACAGGCCGAGTGAAAATTAAATGAACGGGGCTTGGCTCAGTGTCTTCAAGGTCAAGGCTGGGCTCCCTGGTGGACCCCAATCCCGGGTGATGTGCGGGCGCTGAGAACCACCCTGTGAACCGCAGCTGAGAGCAGGGGGCAGTGCGACCACAGCCCCCCAAAGGTGAGAGGAAGGCGCGCAGGGTCCTTACACAAACCAGCCGCGCGAGAGAAGCTGGGGATGCTGAGTGGAGAGCAGGTCCGTTCTTTTCCTAACGAGATAAAGCACTTTGCAGTTCTAGGTCTCTCCTCTCACGCGAGCCCTCTTAACCTAACCTTCCGCAGACAGGGCGTCGCCCCGTGGGACACACCCATAGGGACTGAGGGCAAGGGGCAGGGGGGCGCTTTTCTTCAAGGGCGGAGTCGGAGCCACGACAACCTCGTCGGAGTCGTCGGAGTAGGCGTCTTCCCAGCGTGGAGATGCCGAGGGCGGTGGCTCCGAGGGAGGGGGCTCTGCTGAAACGAACCGGAGAGGGAGGCGGTCACGTCAACCGCCCAGACCCTGCGTGCAGCACCTCTTTCTGGGTAGGCGGGCCCAAGGCCACTCCCCAGGGTAGTGCTGGACAGGCCGACCTCAGAACCGGCCTCACACCGTCATGGCCTCCCATCACCCCCTAGTCACCCCACCTCAGCCTCCTGGCCCAGCTCCGAACACTCTGGCCATTTCCTGGAAGCAAAACAAGCGCGTGTGGCAGGCAGGCCTCGGAGGCGGCGGAGTCTGGGGGGTGCTACCCGAGTCGGCCTCGAGCGGCATCCCAGGGCCTGGTGCCGGTGGCGGCTGAGGTGCTCGACCAGTGGCCACCAGCTCCCAGTGAGCTCACCCACTGAAGGGGAGAAGGCAGGACCCAAGCTGTGACCACAGGCACACCTGAGCCGCCACCTCCAGACCAGATGGGCCCTGGGACCCGGGTGATGGAGGCGAGGAGGGCAGGCCCTATACCAACAGCCACAGAGAAAGCTCCTGTTCTACTGCTTTGTAAAGATAAGTGTAAAGCCCTGGCTGGTCCGGCTCCATGGTTAGAGCGTCAGCCTGCGGACTGAAGGGTCTTGGGTTCAATTCCCACCAAGGGCACGTGCCTCGGTTGCAGGCTCATTCCTGGCCCCTGGTCGGGGCCCGTGTGGGAGCCAATCGGTGTCTCTCTCTGCCCCCCCCTTCCACTCTTTGAAAAGCAGTGGAAAAAATATCCCCAGATGGGCATTAAAAAGCAAACAAACAAAACAGGTGAGAGTAAAAGTGACCAAGCATGGACTTGAAATAAAAGGGGAGGAAGCTAAGACTCATCGCACGGCAGATGCTCTAACTGCATCGGCTTCTTCCTGTAACTTTCAAGAGAATTCTTACTAAAGGGGAAACTTATGAAATTAAAAACATCAGTTTTCAACATTAAAGTCAAGTTTTCTCCTGTGAAAACAGACAATCGGATGGAACCGGGGCTTGAGGGACCCGGTCGCCTGGGGAAGCAGGCTGAACGCGGACGTGCCCTGCGCCGAGTCGGTGGCGGCGGGGAGCCCGCGCTCTAACGTCCCCGGCACTCAGCGCGAGGCGGGAAGGTGGGTCTGCCTCCAGGCCGCCCCATGGGCCTGCTGAGCCTGGCGGAGCCCAGAGTCCCAGCCCAGGGGCCCTGGGGTTTTGTGCATCTACACACTGTCCCTGAGGTCCCAAGACTGCTCATTTGTCCGCTGAGCTCTACAAATGGAGGCTTTGGAGAGAATATCCAAGTCTGAAGCTCGCTAGCGAGGACAAGGCTGGAAAACCAGCCAAGGCAGATAAAAGGCGATTTCCAGGCGGTGCTCTTGGGCGACGCCTGGGGCAAACCCCCCGTGCGGCCTGTCCCAGAACCCCCAGGCAGCCCCAGGGAAGGGCTGCGGCCGCTCCTGCAGGCGACTGCCCGCGGGGCCTGGCCTCCCACTCACCGGGACAGGGCTGCGGGGCTGGTCCCTCCCTGGCGTCCCCACTGCTCACTTCGCCCTCTTCCTGACCTGGAACGACACGCAAACGAGAAGCAGGCGGTCCGCAGTCGGCATCAGGCCGGCACAGGGCCGGTCACATCCTCCGTCTCCCCCCCCCGACATTCTTGGTTCAGAAAAACTGCTTCCAGGCGACCATTTCACAGTGTTTACAAACATCGAGTCGTCCTGCTGTTCACCTGAAACTAACACAACGTCACCCGTCGGTTACGCCTCAAGCCCCAAACCCCTGGTACGCTCGCCCTGATGGAAGACCCTGCCGCCCGCACAGCCTGCTCCGACTCCATCTCCCACCTAAGGACGCAGCGCCAACAGGCTTCCTGGAAACCGCCACGGTGGCAGCACCCGCTCGGCACCTTCCCAAACGGGACCCGAGGCTACAGAGCTGAGGAGGCGGCGCAGAGACGAAGGCACGAGGCAGGACGGACCTGCAGGACGGCCCCAGGCCCCAGGTTTGGGGACTGAGAGCAACTCCCAAGCTGCCACCTCGCATGCGAGGGGATGAGCCAGCCCTTGGAGGGAGCCGGGCAGGGTTGGGCCGGCCTCAGTGTCCGGCCACCCCAGGTTTCCCCAGTAGTGGTCTGGACCTTAATGACCCTGAAAAGGAAACACGAGCAAAACCAGCCACCGGGGAAAACGCTGGCCCGAGGGAGGGAACCACACCCCCCAGCTGGAGCTGAGGGCAGTCAGGACACAGGCGCCCTGAAGCTCCGACGGGGGGCCTGCAGGTGACGGTGGAGACCGAGATGTCACTGACGCCGGACTGTCTGGCCCTTTGAGCTGTGGGAAGTACCCTGGGCTCATCTGTTTCTCCTACAACCCACAGGAAAGGGCCGGAGCTGTGGCAGGGAGGCTGGGCGGAGGCATCTCCCAGTGACTTTGTCCGCAGGCGGCCACAGGTGGGCCCAGCCCCTTGCATGTGCTCACACGCCCCACGCCGCGGGGACAGGGCGGCTGTTTAGGCTGGAACCTCCGAGGGCGCTCTGGCTCTAGCTCCGACAGCCAGATGACAGGAACTTACCAGCAGGTGCCACAGGGAGACCGGGAGGGGAGGGCGTGCCACACGTGCCCGAAGCAGCCGTGGTCTTCGTAGGAGCTGCGGTGTGAGGTCTTTGACTGGAAGAGAGGGAGACTCCAGCTGATCCTGACGGCAGGCTCACTGGTCCCTGGAGCCGCTGCCCGACAGGGCAAGGAGCACCGCAGCCGCCCCCGGCCGAGCCCTGGTCCCGGCAGGCTGGCCGCGCAGGCCTCGCTGTGTCCTCGGTCAGCCCACACTCACTGAGGTCCTGAGGTTGGGCCTCAGACCCCCCTCCCGGCCGTGTCTCTGTGCTGAGGTGCCGCTGTCACCTCCGGGCCCTGGCCAGCTGCCCAGGGGAGGACCTGCCACCATCAGATGGAGCCAGGCCTGTGACTGACTAGGCTGGCCCTGCTGCAGAGGGAAGCTGTCGGCCTAACTGTGACGGGCGCTGTCCGCCACGGAGGCCGCGCAGCAGGAGTCTGGGGAGGTGAGAGCGCGGTGCTGGTGGGACCGGGAGGGGCCTGAGCTTCCCAGGCAGTGGACACTGGCCATACCCGACGCTCTCAGAGCTTCACTGTGGACCCCTGTTGGCCCGAGTTCACTCAGATGGGTAATTTTCAGGACACGTGTGTGCCTGCAGGAGGCCCCCGAGCCCTGGAGGGCCCCACGGTTCCTTCAGAAAGTACGCACTGGCAGCCAGTGCACAAACTGGGTCCTGCCAATCACACGGCGTCTCACCCTTCTATCTGTCCCTCCCCATATGACCAGGACATGTGGCCCACCCCACCTGGACGGCACGGGGGCAATTTCTCACCAGGTGGGACTTCTGCACTGGCAACACATCCCAGCTCTCGCACCGAGCCTGGCAGTGTCTGTGCCGCATTTCCCTGGGATGCAGAACAGAGCCGGGCCTGCCGATCAGCTTACCTGTGCCCGACCCGTGCCATGTGTGCCCGGAAGACAGACTGGATGACAGTAATGGCCTCCTCCTGCCCGGGGTCGCCCTCGGCTTGGACAGTGGGGCTCGGAGCACGAGGTGAGGGAGGGTTCTGCAGAGTAACGATGGGTAGAGCCTCTGAGAACCTGCACCGCCCTCCAGTGTGGCACAGCTGGCACCCTGGACCTCGAGAGCCAGGTAAGGGCACAGCTCTATTTCAGGGGGCTCCCTCATTACTATCAGTCTTAGCCCTTAGCCCCTAGGGATCCTTAAAATGAGCACCCCCGTCACTTCCACAGAGGCTGGTAGGACAGGACGCTCAAGTCTGTGCTGTGTTTCTAAGCTTCTGTCTAAATGGCAAGATGGACCTGCTACTTGATATTCTAGCCCCTTGAAGTAACTGGACCCCAAGACTACGTCCACCCAGGCCCTGCAGGAACCTGGGGAGGGCGGGCAGGCGCACCCACAGGGCGAGGCGGGACTGGGACTAGGGGTGCTGTGCATTCCCTGGTTGATGAAATCTGAGAACCTGGGCTGGGCCCCGCCTGGAGGGTTACCTGGCTGGGGAGGCCGGGCACACTGGGAGACGCTGACCTACGCGCTCTGCTCGATAACAGACTTTCCCTGGCCAGGTGTCCCCGGAAAGCGGCCTGAAGCACCGTGGCCGCCTGTCAGGGAGCAAGGAGAGAGATGGGGGTTAATTTCCCAGGAAGCTGGCAGGTGCAGATGAAGGGAGCTTCCAGAGGGAAAGCTCCGATGTCCCGTATGACCACAGGGTCACAGGGGACTTACAGAGCCTCTTCTCTCACCAGAACCTCCTACGGCAACAAACACCGCCTCCGGGGAGGCAGCACAGCTGCCAGGCCCCGTCAAGCACGTCCTGGACCGTAAACGACTGTCGAGTCAGTGCTGTTGGGCTCAGCAAGTCCACGCGGTAACCACAGCTGGCTTCCTGCTGGGATCGCTATTCCATTCCTACCCTTCCCCTCCCCCTCCTGACGTCAAGTGGGGACCGTGATCTCACTCTATCCCAAAGCTTAGCGGTCCTTCAACCTTCATCTTCACGGTTTTCTTAACTACACGTGGGTGTGAACGCGACGCCCTGGGTTCGGGGCAGCATGTTGTGGGAATGGCCCTGCCTCCTGCAGGACAGGGCTCCGGGAACTGTCAGGGGAACGACAGAGAGTCCTTGGAGACCAGACGCTCCGTGGTCACAGTCACCACAGGAAGGCCAGGTGACGGAAATGCCACAGGCATGCAGTCAAGAAACAAGCACAACAAAGGAAAGAGGGAGGCCCCGAGCAGGCGGACATTTGGACGAACCCAGGAGGTTCACAGAGCCACGGTGTCAGCTGGGGGGCAAGGACCACTGACGCTATTTAGGCAGCGGGACAGAAGCCCCATGCGGGCCCACGCTGTCCACGGAGCCCTTGTGACAGCCCCCCATGGAGATCTCACCATCCTCCTGAGCCCAGAGGGGAGGGAACTGCGGCTTAGGGAGGGGATGGGCAGAGGAAGGGCAGGGCCTGGGAGACAGCACAGGTTGGTGTCTGGTTTATGAGCTCACTCTAGAGCCCTGAATCCCAGAGTCATCTTTCACTCATTCAAAAGACAGAACGCTAACCACACGCAGGCACCATTCTCGGTGCCAGGAACACAGTGGCAAAGACAGACGGCCCTGCCTCCATGGCACCTGCCAGGTGGAGACAAAGGCTCTGAGGACACATATAGCAGAGCAGGCAGGCTGGGGAGGGCTGGGGGGTGCTCAGAGGAGGGTCTCCAGGAGGCAGCGATTCAGTAGAGACCTGAATAAAGTGGGAGCAAGACGTGCACATTTCTAGAATGAGAGCCTTTGGGGCAGGGGTGGGGCAGCGAGTACAAAGGGCCTGGGGCAGGAATGTCCTGCTAGGGTCCTTAGGGATCAGCTTAGGGTTTTGTTCCCGGTGTGGGTGGTGTTATTTAGCATTTGAAAGCATCGCCTGGTGGGACAGCTGAGTGGGGACAGAAGCAGGAGTCCCTGGCTCAGATCCGCACTGTCCCTGTGCCATCAGTTCTGTGCTGTCCCTCTCGGCACCTCCCGCTCCAGCCTGGCTCCCCTGTGCTCACACAGACCTGCTCTCCTTCCAGCAAGCACAGTCTTCTGCACGCCTGGGGCTTTACTTGCTCCAGTCTTCTGCCTGGAACACCCTTTCTCTCTCTCACTCCTCAGTCCCCTTGGTTCCCACTCAAGGCCCGATGGAGCCCAAACGCCACCCTCCACACGGAACTGTGATGACTGTTGGCCCGTGTGGATGCAAAGGGGCCACACACTAAACTTGACAAGCTCAGAAAAGGCCTGCGTGCGGGCCTTACAAACTCAGAGACTGAAAGTAACCACAAGGACGGTCTGAAATTAAAACTTCCTAACTGAAAGCAAGTCCTGTGGGCAGTCGAGTCCTAGGCCTGCAGCTTCCTGGACAAAGGTCCATCTTTACCTTGACTGAGCCTCTATTGTCTTTTTGTATCTAAGATAACACACCTTTGGGGTATCTGAGTGATCCCCTTTTCCAGGCCCCTCAGGGCACAGTCTCCCACCAGAGCACAGACCAGGAGCCCCGACTGTTATCTGCCCCACACACCATCCCCACGTGCCATCGGCTGTTACTACACTGCGCCTCCGACGTGAAGGAAGAGCCCGTCTCTCCATTTTACTCTACCCAGTCCCAGAGGCCCCCTTGGCCTTCTCCTGCCCCCCTAACCTGTCACCAATGGACTTCACGTAACCCTTCTCCTGCCTCCTGACTGTAACGCGTAAAACATGGCAAAACTGCCGTCTCCGGAGCATTTTCTCAATCCATCGAGATTTTGCTTCTGGGCCATTTTGTCAGTTTGGCTCAAATAAACTCATAAAAACTCTTACGCCTGTCTGCCCTAATGCCTGTGTCCCGAGGGCCCGCCAGGTGGCCTCAGGCTGCCTGTGATCAGCAGGTGGGCGGAAGGGTGACTGACTGACAGGCACCTGCGGAGGCCGGAGGCCACCCAGACACTGACCAGGTTAGTATCGCTTCTGTGTGCAAACAGCCTTGGGGTCGGGTCCGATTTCAGGGAAACAAGCATTTAACAGACTTTTGGAGACACCCCCACGCAGCTCTCCTGGAGCTGGTGAACCGAGCCTTGCTTACCTCATCCAGCACAGCCTTTCTTTTCTGAAAGAGAGAGACAGGGGACGAATTAACTCGAGGATAGCTCTTCACAGTCGTGTCCATTTCCTGATCCTGCCCACCAGTCACCAGGAGGGGAGGTGCTGTGACCGACGGGCGGGGGGCTGGCAGCCCGGGGACCAGCCGCGGCCTCTGCCGTCACGATGGGGCCGCTCCTCCTCCAGGACGGCCGGAGGGGAGCCTCCCTCCGCAGCAGGATCCCACAGCCCCGGCCCGGTGTGGTGTCTGCCCCTCCCCCAGGCACGCATTTCTTGGCCATGTCTGTTCTGTCTCCCGCATTCCCCTGCCTGTCACCTGCACTGATCTCGGAGCCTGCACCTCAGAGAGACTCAGTGAGTGTGGGTTAGTGACCAGGTGGCCGGAGCGGTTTCTGCAGCTGGGAACCAGCTCAGCACATGCCCTGGTTGGCACAGGCCCGCAGCAGGGGCCTCCTGGGAGCCCTCACCTGGAGTCTGTACACCTTCCACCGGGCCTGCAGGACCCTGGCGGCCGCGTGTCTGTGCTCCTCCGAGCAGGTGCAGGGGGGCCGGGGCGAGCCCTCCTCGCTGGCGTCGGGCTCAGAGTCCTGCTGAGAGGGACTGCTGGCAGGACGGGCAGGTCGGGGCTCCTCCGGGGCCTGCAGGGAATTGAGGTGTAAGGGTGACTGCACCTCGGGGCAGGTGGCAGGGACCACTTGCCTCGGTACAGGCTGTGCCTATCAGACCCGACTGTCAGTCCCAGGAGAAGCTGCTCCCGCCCCACCCAGCACGTGGGCCGGGGCACGGAGGCTGGGTTGCCCTGACCCTGCGCTCCCTGGGGCGCTCTCCCGAGATGCGGGCTCCGTCCGACAGGCAGCTCAGCGGTTTGGACATCACAAGAATGACCTGCCTTCCAGGGTCCTTCTTTGGTCTTTTCAGTCTAATGCTGTTTTACGAGAGTGGGGCTTCTGGGGTCAAAGGCAGCAGGTTTCCAGCTGGGTGTTGACGCAGAAAGAAGCCAGAGCTGCTACCATGACGATCGAAACAACACTGACTGTGCCACTTGAGGGTCCACACTTACGACCTACGAGCCACCTCTCCGTAAGAATCAAGTCCGTGGACGTTTTCTTCACACCCGTGGAGCTGGAAGAAGCCCTCCCCCAAGGGAGGGAGGCCCAGCAGGTACAAGTCCGGGTCCTATAGACCCACAAAAACCACTGCCCCCGACGGGCCACGGGGTCCCAGCACACCAGCCGGCCACCAGCCTCTCGGGGGGCTGCAGTCACATTCCCCAGGACCCCCGGTGCCCAGCTTCTGTTCCCTTAAGAAGGGCCGTGGATCCCCCATCGTGACATCTCCAGGCCTTTGCTCTCCTGAGAGATGAGTCTGTCACCCCTGCCCTGTGTCACGCAAACAGGTAGTCAGTGACCTGGAAGATGGAGGGACATTTGCTCCAACAGCTCTGGGCAGGCGGTGGGGGACTTTAAACTCTGACACGCACACGTCCTGTCAAAGCCGCCCCCTCCTGTGCTTCTCCTACAAGGACCACTCGCACCCCAGTGCAGAAGGCGCCCCGTTCAGGAGACACGAACGTGCCGAGTCCCCCACTCTCCTTTACGGGAAGTGCCTTCGGGCAGGAAAGACCCAAAGCTAACACACGCTCATTGTGAAAACTCGAGACAACACTAAGAGCAAGGAAAACGTGTTCAGACTCTCACAGGGAAGCAGCCGGGTTGGGGATCCCTGCAGACACTCCCCACAGGCGTTTTCCTGATAAACGGGGACCAGCACCCTGACCTTCCTGGGGGGAGGGGTTTGTGTCCAGCAGACGACAGGCCACACGCACTTTCCCACGTCAGTGAGCGGAGTCGGCTCTGCCTCTGCAAGGGGGCGGTGCCCAGGCTGAACGCCCTCCTGCGTGCTCGCTGTCTCCTACCTGGCGCCGTCTGCGGCGTGAGCAGGGCTGTCCCTGTGCTGGGAACCGGCAGGGAGCATGGTCACCTCCCTTGGCCCACCTGCGTGGTCAGTGGAAAGCAGGGACCCACCACCCGTTCCTGCCATCTACAGGGACATGATTAATGCCGAGTGTAACTGACTCCAGTCAACCTCCTGAAGAGACTGACAAAGGGTGTGGCTTCTGGAGGGACGAGCTCCGGTCAGCCCACTGACACGGCCACTCGGCCCCGCGCGGAGTCAGTGGACGAGTCAGATCCAAAATTACTGACACTGGAGAAAGCGGCAGACCCCGAGGTGGAGGTGCCGCAGCATCGAGCTGGATCCCCCAACGGCCAGGTGGGGGACGAGCACAGGACTTGTGTCCAGTTTGTGCTCAGGGAGGAGGTCAGAGCTCAGAAGACCCGTCCTATCTCCACCCACACGGTGCCAACAGGGCGCTGCTCCCCCTCCCCCCGAGCGCCCACAGGAAACCTCCGCGGCCGCGGGAGGCGGCTCCCAGAGCCGGGTGAGCTCCACGGTCAAAGCCGTCACTTCCAATTCTGCGGGACGTGGAAAATACTTTCTCCCTGAGGGACACGGCTGACGGGGCGGTTTTAAGAAAAAGCAGACACATCTACTCATGGGGCTGCCGCCAGGGCTCACGAGGGCCTGACACAGTCACACACAGGGAAGCCAGAACTTCACTGTCGGGAGCACCCCACTGGGAAGAGACTGTGAGAATTGCCCCAAAAGCGCCGTGGCGCCAGACAAGACACACGGCACGGCTCCACCACAGGACACCGGGCCGCCAGCAGCAAGAACCACCTCGCCCTGCGTCACAGCCACCGGGGGCAGACGGCATGGGCGTCGGGTAAGCAGGGCCTCCTGGGAAGTGGCCATCACGCAGAGGGGCCCGTGTCCTGGACACGGGATAGGGGTTCTGCAGGCCTCAGAACATCACCCACAGATGGAAGCCACCACTGAGATGCACCCACACAGTAACACAGACTGCTCTCTACTGATCAAACAGAACAGCTCCAGAAGGGAAGAGATGGACTTGCCATGTCCACCCCTCGCCACCGGCCGGCAGGACACACGGGGGCCAGGCCGTGCACAGCCTCTGGGGGGGCAGCGAGCACGGAGCATATGCCGCGAGGACGGCCCCTTTCCGGGCCCTGACTCCGTCTCAAGCACACGCAGTTCACGTGCTCACGGACGAGGCCTGAACACTCAGGCTCGGCTACGGAGCCGCCCCGGGGAGGAAGCCAGAGCAGAATTAGAAAACAAATCGTTGGTCAGCCGTGAGCAGCTGGCCATGCCTCCCTTCTGGTGGCCAGTGCCAATCTCCGCCAGGCCACTGCTACTGAAACAGTACGTCACTTTCAGAAGCAACAGAACTTCTTGGCTAAAACGTACCCCAGGTAAAGAGGCCCCATGCTGGCGGGTGTCCGGAACTGCTCAGACCTCAGCAGGTAGAGCGCGCGCAGGGCTGCCCACGCCCTCTGCCAGCTCTAACATGAGCTCTTTCTGGGCACCAGACCACGTGGCTCCATCTGTCCCAGTTACTGGACAGGCCCCTCTTGCAGGGAACAGCAGGCAGGATTTCCAGCCTCGCGACTGATGGTGAAAGACACCAGCTCGCCCCCGCCATCAGAATCCAGAGTGCAGGGCAGGGCGAGCGACGCATCCCTGCCACCAGGAGTCCGAGTGCAGGTGGCACTGTGCCAGCAGGGACCCTCCTGGCCACAAAGACCACCTGGTCCGTGTAAGTGGAGGGAGCCAGGGTAGGGGACAGGCAGAGGCTCTGCCCACACTCACCCCCTTCCTGCCCTCAGGCTCTGCAGAGGGGACCTGCCACTCACGTCAGTGCTGACGACCAGTTAGCCCAGAACCTTGGGGTTCAGCAGGCACATGTATAGAAATGAGTGTCGGTGCCGGAGGCGGGAAACGGGATGGAGGCAGCCGGGGCCGTCCCCTCTCGTCTGAGTCCCCGCGCCCAGGCCGTACCTCAGGGGTCACTTCCGTGGGGTCGTCTCCCTCTCCCTTCCTAACTGCTTCCAGGTCTTGACACTTTGTGGTCAGAGCTTGAACTTCCTCCCTGTGGGAAAGGGAGAAGGTGACACCGTACCTGCCAACACCGTGTGGGCCCAGCCGCCACCCACAGCACAGGGGCGCGACGGGGCGTCGACTGTCGGCACCCCGTGGGGCGGAGCGGCATGGGGGCTGGGACGAGGTCCCCCGGCACCACTCCTGGCACCTGAGAACCGAAAAAAGGCTGACTGCGCAGCGACAGTGACGGAGCACAGCAGATGCTCAGTGGGGTGTTAAGGAAACGTGAAGAGAAGGAAGCTCGTCCTTGCTACAGAATTAAAGGCCAAGGAAAAACAGCTCTTCACGTGCACCTGCCCTTTTGGTCCAGTTCTGACCTCTGGCCACATCTAGTCACATTTCTTCTGAAAACAAAAATGTTCATGAATTTTAGCAATTGTCTTACTAGTTATTCTGAGTGCTAAGTAGTTCTGCTCAGATTTCTAACCTACTTTTGGGGGCATTTTTTATTGACATAAAAGACTATTTTGCACAATTCAGGGTGTTCAGTAAGTTCACGGCGCTGTGCCGCCATCCTCTGCCTGGTTCTGGCACCCCCAGGGCTTCCATGACCCCCAGGAGCCCCGCAGTCAGTCACTGCCCCTCCCCCAGCCCTCGCAACCACCAATCTCCTCTCTGTCTCTGCCCTGGACATTTCCGAATTACAGGACGTGCGGCTTCCCTCGGTCATGGCTTGAGGCGCACCCACTGTCCCGCGTCAGAGCTGCGGCCCTTTGTACAGATACACTTCAGTGTCTGACCCATCAGCAGATGGACATCTGGGCTATTTCCGATTTGGGGCTGAGGTGGACAATGATGTTGCGAAGGTGTGTGGGGGGCACTGTCCGAGAAGAAGGGACACCTGGGCCAGCTCTGAGCCAGCGGTGGGCTGGGCGCCGCTGGGGTGAGGGCTGGGGGCGCGGGAGGTGCCCGGCCAGCTCGCTAACTGGCCTGGAGGGGGAGGGGCCACTCCCAGCAGGAAGAGCGGGGTCCTGGCCACTCCTAACTCTGACGCCTGGCTCGCTCACCTCAAAGCCTCCTCTCTCGCTCTCCTCGCCTCCTCGCCTTCCCGCACCTCTTCCAGCTCCCTCTCCAGGTCGGCCTTGGTCTGGAGCAGCTGCTTTACCTCCAAGCTGAACAGAGAACCAGAGACATTCAGCGTTTATGAAACAAAGGTCACAGTAATTGCCGGGCCAGCGAGGCTCAGCGCTTGAGCATTGACCTGGGATCCAGGGGATGGAGGTTTGATTCCCGGTCAGGGGACACGCCTGGACTGTGGGCTTAATCCCCAGGTGGGGGCTGCAGGAGGCAGCCCATCAATGATTCTCTCATCATTGATGGTTCTCTCTCTCCCTCTCCCTTCCTCTCTCTGAAATCAATTTTAAAAAAAAAAACTAAAAAAGATGCAGCCGCCCAACCCCGTCACTCATGACTGTGGACGGACGCGGGGCAGAAGGAAGCAGACAGAGCCCGGCACAGACTCGAGGGGCCGCACCTCTAACCAGCCCCCAGGTGGTGCGGGGCTGCTGGCCTCCCAGGCCACCCTGAGGAGCAGGGTCTGAGGGAGATACTGGGTCTCAGGAGGCTTTAGATTACTCTCAGCAGAACCGAGACTAGAGAAGCCCCAAGTGCAGGGGGGGGGTGCATGTCAGGTGGCTGCAGGCCAGGACGCAGAGGCCAGGGAGTAAGCGCTCTCATGGTCGCCACAAGCATTTCACAGTGCACGTCCCATTTGACACACGAGGTGTCACGAACACATTACTGAGTCTAGGCCACTCTGCATAGATCTAAAAGAGAATCTGGGAATCCCCCTAGGGTCTGATGTAGAGAGATTTAAATGACCCCTCTTTCAATGATGTAATATGGCCAATTAATGCCTTCGTTTTACCGCTCAAGCTGCCTGTATTTCACAACCAAAATGTAAGTTTTAGAATCACCTAAAACATTTGTGCAGTTACTGCTGTGGGCTGAGCTCTCTCCCCAATTCACGAGGCCGGTTTAAGACTGGCAAGAATACATTCCAACAGGNCTCTGACGCCTGGCTCGCTCACCTCAAAGCCTCCTCTCTCGCTCTCCTCGCCTCCTCGCCTTCCCGCACCTCTTCCAGCTCCCTCTCCAGGTCGGCCTTGGTCTGGAGCAGCTGCTTTACCTCCAAGCTGAACAGAGAACCAGAGACATTCAGCGTTTATGAAACAAAGGTCACAGTAATTGCCGGGCCAGCGAGGCTCAGCGCTTGAGCATTGACCTGGGATCCAGGGGATGGAGGTTTGATTCCCGGTCAGGGGACACGCCTGGACTGTGGGCTTAATCCCCAGGTGGGGGCTGCAGGAGGCAGCCCATCAATGATTCTCTCATCATTGATGGTTCTCTCTCTCCCTCTCCCTTCCTCTCTCTGAAATCAATTTTAAAAAAAAAAACTAAAAAAGATGCAGCCGCCCAACCCCGTCACTCATGACTGTGGACGGACGCGGGGCAGAAGGAAGCAGACAGAGCCCGGCACAGACTCGAGGGGCCGCACCTCTAACCAGCCCCCAGGTGGTGCGGGGCTGCTGGCCTCCCAGGCCACCCTGAGGAGCAGGGTCTGAGGGAGATACTGGGTCTCAGGAGGCTTTAGATTACTCTCAGCAGAACCGAGACTAGAGAAGCCCCAAGTGCAGGGGGGGGGTGCATGTCAGGTGGCTGCAGGCCAGGACGCAGAGGCCAGGGAGTAAGCGCTCTCATGGTCGCCACAAGCATTTCACAGTGCACGTCCCATTTGACACACGAGGTGTCACGAACACATTACTGAGTCTAGGCCACTCTGCATAGATCTAAAAGAGAATCTGGGAATCCCCCTAGGGTCTGATGTAGAGAGATTTAAATGACCCCTCTTTCAATGATGTAATATGGCCAATTAATGCCTTCGTTTTACCGCTCAAGCTGCCTGTATTTCACAACCAAAATGTAAGTTTTAGAATCACCTAAAACATTTGTGCAGTTACTGCTGTGGGCTGAGCTCTCTCCCCAATTCACGAGGCCGGTTTAAGACTGGCAAGAATACATTCCAACAGG